GAGCGGCTGAACAATCTCCGGAGAGACTGAACACACGATAGCTGACAGGCAGGCCAAGGCTGTTAATATAGATGTTGAAGGTGTAACTGGCAGAACACTGGCTGTTTCAGCAAGTGGTCTGTGTTTAAAGGTGTGTGGATTCTCTTTGAGGTGTTTTCATTTTATGTGTGTATTAATTACTATATTCAACAAACCTGCAAAGGTCATTATCCCTTTTAAGTCCAGAAAGCTCATGTCTCATTTAAGACATTGCCAAGAGACAAAAATTCTTTGAAAGTGGAAATTTATTTCATAGTCTGTGTAAATACTAACTGCCTTAAGGCATGACGTTTTCACTATTTAAATCAACACTAATGACAAAATGAGCCCAAATGAAAGTTATTACAAAAGTGAATATTTTATATGCGTGACAAATATAAATGTCAGCGCATTTTGTACATCAGGCTGGTTTGGTTTTGTTTGTATCAGCAGCAGCGTCATGTACGACGACGATTTAGCCCAGATACCAGCTTTCTGGTGGATTTTGATTTTTGTTTGTTGGAGCTGACAGTTGTGTACAAAAAGTGTATTATCTCTTTTCTGTCCAAATTCACTAATAGAATGGTTTATTAAAAATGTGTCATGGATAAGAGACAAAGAAAGGTATGTTGAGCTGACTCTTCATCCGTGCACAGGCTGTTTGTCACTGGTTTTGTTGACATCAGCATTATTCTCACCAAAGCTTTGATAAGGAATCAGTGGTGTTTATTTTTTAGGAATCATCCTCTTCTGTCTCTTTATTCAATAAACAGTTTTTCAGATTTAACTGGTTGTCTGATGAGACTGCAGTGGACTCTTCACAGGACGTCCTGCTCAACAGGTGAAAATTGTCTCATGGTTCCTGTGGCTCTGGATTAGTTTTTTTTTTTATAACAAACTTCATTTATTATTATCAAAGCATAAACATGGTCACAATAACTAAGAATATGGAAAAATAGGACAATATTAACCAAAGATATGTTTGATGTAATTTAAAACCAGTGTTTCCAGCGACGCTAGAACATAAAAGTGCTAATACAACACTGTAAAATGGCTAAGTATTAAAAGTAAAAATACTCAATGCAGTAAAAAATCATTAAATGATTATTAATGTGCAAGCAGCACTTTACTCCTGTAAGTGGAGTGGAGTTGATGTACTTGTTTTGTACAGGAAAACTCATTTTTATTAGATTTACTGGGTGTGTATTAAATGTTTATGTAAAAAAATAAGAGCCAATATATTACCAGGTTTTTTTTAACTACCCACTCAGTATGTGGCTCAAACACGCTTCCCATTTGATTAAACAACAACAAAAAAAATCTAAATATCATTGACATGTTAATTTTATTCCAAAAAATTTAACTTTCAAAACTGTCAATTTGTCAACATACAATCATAGAACAATATTGAAATAACACTTCCAACATTAAATAATAAAAAAATAACAGCCATGTTTTATGTACATTTGTTTCTGAAAGCTGTGTACAGGGGGGGAAAGAAAATCAACTTTTTATTTCTAGAATCTGCCCACACAGACGTGCAGAAAGCAATTGCATCATTTGTATAAGAGGTGGAGTGAACGCAGTGAGGAAGGACAACAGAAACCCAACTGAGATCAACAGGCAGCATGTTAATGAACGCAGCATGTTAATGAACACAGCAGTGAACACTGCCATCACTACAGCTACAAAGCATATTTATCTAAAATGGTTTCTTTGAATGTCAGCTAGCTGCACCCTCAGAGACCAATGCATACACATAAGCCGATGATCTACTGGATGTAAACATGTTGTAAAGATTGGAAACACAAAAATTAATTTCAAAACTGCACTGAGTTATTGTCAATGGCCAAATGATGAGGCTGTCCAGGGTGGATACAGCTGTGCTCACTGCCCAGAGCAGCAAACAGTCATGCTTTCAACACGTTGTAGCTGTTGTGGCCCAATGAGCAGAGAGTATTGTCCATTCTGGGGTTAAGCCATGCTAGCGTCTTTTTTGTTACAGCTAAATAGTCCATGCAACTGACACAATAGAAAGTAACTAATAAGAAACAGCATGGGGAACAGAATGCTGGGTTTCACACCACCCTAACCACCTGTCTAAACGTCTGTGCCTTTGGTTTGACGTAAACCCCTGGACAACACAGAACAATCTTTTGGTTGCTTTTCATTTCTCCTTAAATTGAACTGGTTCAAGAACAGCAAGTTTTAATATGAACTCATGCTGAATGTGGCTCAGAACCCCCATAACACTAAACATTGATAAAATTTTATTTGAAGTTATGTGCGAACAAGAAAGGCAATACACAGCACGATACCGTCAGATGTCGACACCATTCCACTGAGACAGGCAGAATGAGTTTGGTAGGATTGGCCAGAGCTAAATGCTGTAGCTGTGTTGCTCACCATGAACAGCAACCGATATCTGTTCCCCCACAGGGCTGTTCTCAAGGTCAGAGTCCCCGGTTTATCCCATCAGCTGGCTATGTATTAACTCTGACAGAAAATCAGTTTTGGATGCACAAGCTCCAACAAAATATATCTCAGTCATGTTACAGAGCATGCATGTAACTCTTAGAAATTTTTTAAAGATATCAACTGATGTGTATTCTTCAACAGCTGCTAATATGGAGGCTGTCACCTTGTGTCATCAAGCACTTAGTCTTCCCTTCAGATGTGTAAATGAGACCACAAATACATGACACGTGATGCTGCAGCTATGTCCCACTTCTGTCCAGTATTCTGCAGGAGCTGCTCTGTGGTGACACATGGAGACTGGACGGTCATTTACTCTCCCATAGACTGACATACACAGCGACTGGTCTCCCCACCTCAGATAAGACAAACGGAGCATTTTCTAATCTGGGCGAGGAGCTGCATCTCTACGCTATTAATGCCACATGGGGTTCACTTCCGACAGGTCCGGTGAGGCGTGTGTTTTTTGGGCACCTCGATACGACATCGGCTCCGGTCATCCAGCCAAGGCAGCTCAAAGTTCCTGGAGAAAGAATAAACATTTTACTTTGACATGGAAATTCTTTTGTCCAGTCTTCAGTCTGAAGTGTAGAACGCTTGAGTAGAGATGGGTGACACATGAAAGGAAAAACTTTATGTAAAGTCATATGCTGTGGCCTCAACAGTCATTAGACCCTAGCTGAAGACCAATGGGAGCTTTTAGAGCCATGTGTTAGACATTTAGCATCATTTAATACTTCCCAGCTGCATGTGAGCACCTGCAGTGCAGAATCACCAAAGTAACTTCATGAATTAATAACTTGCGTCACATCATTTTGTGCTAATCACACAGGAAATGGGACATGAAGTAGAATTAATGAACAATGCAAGTGAAACTCCAACTTACTGTTGTGTGAGCTTGGGCAGCGGCCGGCCGAATGCAACCACAGGCAGGAAAGGAGTGATCATTATAGTTTCAACTGGAGGAAATTAAAAGAAAGTTAAAATCTCTTTAAAAATATCACACTCCATGGCAGGAAGTTTTATTCAGGCACTGGATAGTTTAAAAGGCACATGTACCATCCTCGGTCTCGGGATAGAAGGACAGCAGCTCTGGTTCGACCTCCTGGATGACCTTCCTCCTATTCATGCGCTGCTGCAAACGCTGAAACATGCGCTGCTCTCTGATTCGCTGAATGTCCCATCTGAAAACACAACAAATTATTAAGTAGGAAATCACAGTACCTGCCTATGGAGCACAACAGAGCCAGTGAATCTTACATCTGGCTTGTTGCTGGAACTAATGCTAATTCTTTTGAGCACAAAGACTCCACAGACGGCCGTGCACTGCACTGTCACAAATTAATTACTCCCTCAGTATGAGCTAAACTGGGACCCTAGTGTATACACACATAATCAAACTGTTTGCCATTGTTGTTTGAGTTTTCACACAGTGGAAGCCTTAAATCCATCCTCCATGGTGGATCCTGACTATATAGTGTGGTGAATATTGTGCTCTGAGTGATTACACTGAATGATGCACAAGTACAGATTAAAATCTATATGTTGGTAAAAGCCAAAACCAGGAGCACCCTAGCAGCCGAATGGTCACAGTGCATGTCACATAACTGCAATATCCATGGTCTAATTCTGGCTGGGGATCTTTGTTGGATATTACAGTTCAGTTTTTAAAGTTTTATGAACTGCGTTATTGGTCACAAATCTTTAATAACCAAGTTCAGGAGCTTATTACCAAAAATGTTCTCGGTACACATTAACGTTAATTATTACCTGTCCTGGGCTGCTCATTCTGCTGCGAGCGTTAAGAAGGCCCAGCAGAGGCTTCATTTCCTGAGAATCCTCAGGAAAAACAATCTACAAAAGAAACTACCGGTGGCTTTCTTTCATGCAGCTAATGGGAGCATCCTGACATACTGTATCTCAACTCAGGATGCTCTGTCGCAGACCAACAAATTCACTGGCAGACATTACAAGCTCCAGCTACCTTCGCAGAGCCACTAGCATTATTACAGATCCCACTGTTACCCTCTGGCAGGCAGTACAGGTCTACCAAATCACACTCCTTCAAAGTCAGAAACTGCATTTTCCAAAAGACATACATACTCTAAACTTAATCATTTAATGAAGAATTATTTTCTAATTTGTATCTCTTTTGTTTTTAATTATTTATTTTAGACATAGAACCTGTTCCCATAATTATTATGTTTTAAGTACTTGGACCCTGAACAACCACGTGCAGCAGCGCTCCTAAATTTTGTTGTTCGCTTACAATGACAATAAAGGCTTTCTTTATTGGCTTTTCTAGTTCCAGGAGTACAGAGACATATTCAAATCTCAAATGAAATAACTACAATCTGTGAATGATACCTTTTCCTCCTCTTCTCATCCAACTCGAGCTTCGCGTGCCGTTTCAAAAATGTGCTATCATCCAGCGGCTTGATGGGAAGACAAATTCACACAACTTGTGAGTTAAAAGATTTTATATCTGATATAAGATAACTCCTTTGAATTCAGATATTTCTCACCTCAGAGAGGTGAAAGGAGTCATTGTCATCCAAGGGCTCCATACAATTTTCCCTCCAAGAAGGAACTAGACAAGTAAGGGAGACAAAGATAATCATGGAGAGTGTGTTCAGTACATTTTAAGGATAAAGTGGTTCAAACAGGATACATGTAGGTTAGGCTTACAAACAATCAGCATATCATGTACTACATGAAGAGTCCACTCACTGGCCACCTCTTCCTCCTTTTTAGGGGAAGTCTCACGCAGAGGTGACAGGGGAGGTTGATTCCAGCAACAGAGATACATCTCTGTGGTCGACATGAAGGGCAGATCTTCCATCTGACAGCTCAGCTCAGGTTCCTCTTTAGTTGTGTGCAAAATGTCCCTTTCAGCCCCCGACCTCAAAGAAACAGTCTTCTCTGGGGTTTCCTTACTGCGAAGCTCTCGCTGATTGGGGGAGCCAGGCTGAAGCTCAGGTTTCTCCGGGCTGAATTTGCCACTCCTGCCCCGCAATTTCTGGACTTTTGCATCTCCAAAGCAAGATTTCCTGTGTAAAGATGAGACTTATTACTACGATATGAAAATAAATCTAAGTCATGAATTCAGTTTCAGTTTGACCAAATCAGACTACATTTTTTAAATAACGATAATCAGAATAATGACCTTTATTTGGCCAAGTATGTTACACACAAGGAATTTGTTTCCGGTACAGAACCGAGGCAGCCATCTGTGTCGCCAACTCAACCGATGGCTCTAACCATTGGGGGCAACAGGGGGGTTCAGTGTCTTGCCCAAGGACACTTCGACATGTGGACTGCTGGCACCGAGATTCAAACCTTCAACCTTCTGGTTGGGATATGACTGCTCTACCCACTGCACCACAGTCGCTCCCTCCTTTTTTTTATTTTTTATTTTTTTTATTAAATGATAAGTGGCAGAAGGTAACACCTTTTCTTTGTGGATTTCTTTTCTGGAGTTTGGTCAATACCACATGGTGTAAAGCCCAGTGCTGTCTGCAACTGTTCATTTTACCTCTTTTGACCTTTGCCACACCGACTAAAGGGGAGTGGAGTGGATGGGTTGGGTTGCGGACTCTCCTCTACATCCAGATCCCATATATCCTCTTTGTCAGGGGTCCATGGCTCCAGGGGCTGGAAAAGACGCTTGTCACGTGGCAGGTCTTTCCTTGTGAGCTGCAGGCGACGCTCCATGCGCTCAATACGTGCCAGCAGCTGCAGAAGAGAAGGACATGGACAAAAACAAAAAATTGTAACTTTAATGCTTACCAAATCAAGATGTTACAGACCATCCCAAAATGTGTTAAAAACTTCCACATACTGTCTCCTTGTCTGCTTTGAGCTCATCTATCTCCTTGTCCTTGGACTGCAGCTGTTGTTGCTGTTGTTCAATAAGGTCCAGTTGAAGGAGGAGAATCTGTCGGAGGCAGTTGGCCTGGGTGTGTGGATTGGCAGGGCTCTTTCTGATGTTCCTCCACTTGCCCTCAGAAGAGAGTTCAATTGATGCAGTGCCCAGGACTCCAGGGACAACCCCCTTGGCACTATCATCACCACCAGCGTCCTTAGGGTTATTGTTCACAGCCATCTGAGGGTTATCCATGCTGTCAACAGCGAGGGGTTTACCTTTAACTGGGGTTCCCTCACCCCCCATTGGTCTGACAGGGGACAATATGCCCACAGTTTTATTGTCTCCTTGAACTACTTCTGCAACTGTGGCAGCGAGGGCAACTTTGCTTGTCATGTAATTCTGGTCTAAATCCTTAGACTTGTTCGGGATCTCGACCCTCTGCACGTCTTGAACATCTGTAACAAAGTCGCAAGACTCCCTCTTGAAGCTCACGGGACTCACTGTGGCGGCAAAAATATGCGTTTTATCAAAGTCGACGGTGTCAACCTTCTGCCTGAATCCCGTCTTTGGAAACAGCGTGGATCTTAGAGTCATGGCGAACACAACGAATTCCCATCCTGCAACGCCTCGGCGATGCAATTTAACCACAACCACTTCCCATGTGTGCTCTGCAAAACACAGACAAATAAAAGCATGTCTTGTTATTGTTTTTGGCTGTTTAACCGAGCATACCGTATTTGAGGTGGGAATAGAAATACACACTTACTACTAATATTGGCTAAACCGGGGGGAAACTATAACACCAAAATGCGCCCGATCCTGGGCATCCTTTTCCCAAAATCATCCGCCGGGTTTGAAATTGAGGCTAAGCTATTAGCACTGCAGGTCAAACAGGCAGGCGCTAATTCTGAGACAGACTAATGTGGTTATAAGGCATTAAACTCAATAATGCGTCTGGGATGACATTTCAGACTGAGGGGCTTCGAACAAGGACTCGGGAGTGGCTGTGCAGGACACTGGCAGTAGCCCTCTCCTCCATTTTGGTTCTCGCGAAATCATGAAAAACAATAACAGCTAGCTAGCTGGCTAACACTAGCCGGCTAGTTTCACTAACAAAACGCGCTTCCGAGAGGAAGCGAACATAACGACCGCGTCGTAAGACTCTTATTTCGGACATATGTGTTTTTAATAGCATTCATTCGTGTGCTGGGAGCTTACCTCGACTACAACTCAAAGTCCACCTGCAAGTATCTTCATGTTCCCTCCTCGAGACTTGTTTTAAAGCGCCGGCAACTGCGCATGCGTAATTTGTTGGATGGCCATTTTTGTGTTTTGAAGGTTTTGATAAGAAGAGAAGCAGCAGGGGGAGACAGACCCACGTTCTCTGCAAATGACAACATGATGCAGCGTGTTTATTAATGGAAACAATTGCACTAAATTAGTATTACATAGCCCGAAATATAAGTTAAAAATTTCATCACTGTTGTGTGATGAGAGATTAATAATATTGAAGTTTCGTCCAGTTTTTGTCATGACTTGCATTTTTATTTTACCACCGTGAAAGAAGAAACAAGACCTTAAACTGCCTATATTTTATGATACAATGGCTTGCATTTTCTTTCCCGTGGCTTTTGAGTATTTAATGAATGATTTATTTGATTACATTTGAAGTGAACATGTTATTTGTGAATCAAGCAACAAGTAATACTGGCCTGCCATATTCTCCTTGCCACCAGGGGGCGATATGAAATTAATGGTTGAAGTTATCGTGCAGGTAGGAAGTAGTCTGTTTCCTTCCTATCAAAATATAAACAGCTACACTAAATTAGCTTTACATAGGCCGAAATCTAACTTAAAATAGTACTTTTCAGCCATTCTTGATTTTATAATAATGTTGCATTTATATTGTAAAAGTCGACATTATTGAAGAAGCGCGTATTTAGGAGAGAATTGTGAATGTTGGTGAACTACAGTGGCAAAAACAGTGTAGCTAGTTCAATTAGCTTAGCTTTATTCTAACGCTAACTCCAGCGTTAAATTATTTTTCATTATTAGCTACAATATTATTCGTTAAACACACGCTTGGTTTAGATCTTACTCTTAATTTGTTATCATATAGCAGACAACATGCGGAGAGGTGTTGGAGCTGGAGCTGTTGCCAAAAAGAAGCTAGCAGAGGTAGTGATGTTCAGCATTTTTTAAACTTTGAAGTTAACTCGGTTTGCTCGTATGAATGTTTATTTAATCTGTTTTGTGATATTTTTCTACCCAGGCCAAATATAAAGAAAGAGGAACCGTTCTTGCAGAGGACCAAATTGCCCAGGTGTTTGTGTTTTGATGCCGTATTTGATGCACTTATTTACAGTATTTTTCTTAGCTCTGAAATGGTAGCGTCATTATGCCGTGTTAATCTTTACAATTTGTTGTAATACACATATGTCAATGTATTTATGTGAACGAAGGCTGCAACGAAGTGCTAATTATCCTTGTGAATACCTGAATATTTACCTTTTCTTTAAAAGTGTCAGAAAATGTTGAAACATGCTCACTCTTGTGTGCTCAAGCCTGAGATGCTGTTGTCAAATTTCTTGTTTTGTGTGACGAAGTGTCCAAAGACATTCAGTTTACTTTCATGTACAACAAATAAAAAGGTGAAGTGCTCCCATATGAAGCTGGAACCACTTAATTTATTACTTTGCTTTGGAAGTGACTGAGTCAATTATTAAAATAGATTGAACAAATGATTTGTATTTATTTTACATATATATCCTGAAATATGCCTGGCAATGAAGTGTTATATGTGAGCAGCATTTTTACTTTAGTTACTAATTTACATTAATGTTATATTAAGACATTTTTATAACTGATATTTTATTGATTATTTATTTAATTTATGTTTTTGTTTTTCTGCCAGATGTCCAAGCAGCTAGAGACCTTCAAATCAAACCTGGAGGAGTTTGCTAGCAAGCACAAACAAGAAATCCGAAAGAACCCACAGTTCAGGGTTCAGTTTCAGGAAATGTGTGCCACCATCGGAGTTGACCCACTGGCCTGTGAGAAGCATTTGAGATATAATCTGTAAATATGTGAAGTGATTGGGAGAAATATGCTTAAAATGTGTTTTAATATAATATGTTTTAAAGTGGAACATAACATATTATCTTCATCTTTATTTTCACAGCTGGCAAAGGCTTTTGGTCTGAGATGCTTGGAGTTGGTGACTTCTATTATGAGCTTGGTGTACAGATCATTGAAGTGTGTCTAGCCCTGAAACACAGAAATGGAGGTCTGCAGTTTGTCTATGAAAATTGTGTGGTACTTATTATATTTTAATGTGCCAGCTAACTGTTAACAATCATAAGCATGTGCTTAGATCTGAGTTCCTTTCCTAATAATTTGGCAATATTCAGTCCATGTTAATACAGTAAATAATGATGTGGTTATCATAATTACAAATGTTTGTGGTTGTGAATTGAGTGAAAATGCCTCATAATGTGTGTATTTTGTGCCAGGGCTTATTACTTTAGATGAACTCCATCAGAGAGTACTGAAGGGGAGAGGTAAATACGCTCAGGATGTGAGCCAGTAAGTAGCACTAATAAAATATTTCATATATTACAGCAGTTTCTATGAGTTGTCATGTTTTCTTTGTCTAGATTTAAACAACAGGCCTTGAAAGCGTTTATCATTTAAGTGGATATTTGATTAATCTAACCCCCATTTGTTTGGTCTAAGTTGTATATCTGTGGTTAAATTTGTGATTGCCAGAGATGACTTGATGAGAGCCATAAAGAAGCTGAAGGTGATGGGGAACGGTTTTGGGATGATTCCTGTTGGCGGTTCTTATTTGGTGCAGTCAGTCCCAGCAGAGCTCAACATGGACCATACTGTAGTTCTACAGCTGGCTGAGGTGAGACGCAGCCCAGGGCTCATCAGATTTCTTTTTTATCACAAATTAAAATATAGATTTTTTTATTGGATTTATTCTTGTGGTTGTATTACCGCTGACATGTTGGTCATGTTTTTTTTTTTTTTATTTGGTGCAGTCAGTCCCAGCAGAGCTCAACATGGACCATACTGTAGTTCTACAGCTGGCTGAGGTGAGACGCAGCCCAGGGCTCATCAGATTTCTTTTTTATCACAAATTAAAATATAGATTTTTTATTGGATTTATTCTTGTGGTTGTATTACCACTGACATGTTGGTCATGTTTTTTTTTTTTTTAAATGAGTCCAAAGTTTTAGCATAGTATAAGTATGAAATAAATGCTGTGAGATGAACAAAAGAACTACAGCATCTTAAGGAGAAATAAACAGGTATATAAAGTGTGCACCTTGATCACTTTATTTAGAGGATTGTAGTGAATTTGTCATTTAATTATTTTCTCTTACGCTCATGGAAAATATTATTACAGAGGAAATCCTCATGTCAGATCAGTCTGTAAAAATGTACTAGGTAGGAGGATGGCATTGTCTTTAATGTCTGTCACAAATGTTCATAAATTATAGAAAGATATATGTGTGAGGACCCCCCCGAGAGTGATCATGTTACTTCAGTGTCTTGATGTTGTCTGAGCGAAGACCCACCATGTCAGAAAACTGCTTCACCGGAGAGATGAAACTGAAATGTTCCAATTTTTTTTTGTTGTTGTTTTTAAGGGAGCTTATGACTCAAGAGATTGTGGCTGTTTATTGCAATGATGTCTGTTTCTTTGTTCATATGTAGAAAAAGGGCTACGTCTCAGTGAGTGAGATCAGGGACAGCTTAAAGTGGGAGAAGGAACGCGCCTGCCACGTCCTGGTAAGTGCATATCAGTTATATTTGGTGGCTGTTTGAGATAAACTGTGGCTCTAAAACATGACAGACAGGTTTTGAAATGCCTTTAAAACATTCGATTTGGTTTCTGCAATAAGAATAAAGGAAATAAAAAGTTGTAGTATTTTTCTTGCCTGCAGTACAAATTAATGTTAGTTATGTTTTTTTTTTTTCCTCATGTCCTGTTGGGAGACATGTCACACCCAGCTGAAGTAGAAGTGGGATTAATGCAACAGTAGATGATCAATTATTTTTTGTTGAGTTTCAGTCAGCACCATCAGACCTGAGGCAAACACTGTCACCACTGCTAGCTCATAATGTGCAAGTGTCAGTTTTACCCAAAACTTTAAATGACTTAAAAGAATGAGCAATTGTGAATAGGTTAATCTAACCATTCATTTTCTGCCTCTTATCCTTATCAAGGTTGTGTTAATGTAATTCATTAAGTTATTAAGAGCTGCAGCAATAAATCATTTGTTTGATTGCCAATTGTTTGAAAATCAGTCATTACTTTGTGAAAAGAACAAACATTCTCTGGTTAACATTTCAAACAAGAGGATTTGCAGATGTTCTGTTATTTATAATAGTAAATTTATATTTTGGGAGTTTCAGACAAAACAGGTTAATTGAAGACATCACAATAGGCTGTGAGAAACTGTTAATGGCTTTTTTTTGCCATGTTTTAATATTTTATAGAAGAAACAAGTGAATTGTAGCTCTTTGATTATTGTCTCATACTGCTGGGAAGTCCTTAAAAATGTGATATAATCGTCCTTTTCCTCATCCTTGGATGATATGATTGAGAAGAAGGCACTGATTTACATTCTGCATGATGTTAAAAAGGATTCAACCTGATGATCCCCGCAGAAACCCCCTTGTACAGTGCGTCACCCTCTGCTCTCATTTCCAGGACCACCTGCTAAAAGAAGGCCTGGCCTGGTTGGACTCTCAAGCACCTGGGGAAGCACAGTACTGGCTGCCTGCCCTCTTCTCTGAGCTTACCTCCCGTGATGTCACACCAGAGGAAGCCAATCAGATGACACCTTAAGTAATGACAGCGTGTACTTGGGCTGTTCTTTAGAGACTTGTTGGTAAACAAAATGTGCCGGGTGGGACGGTTTGCGTAATGCATTTGGCTGGTGGGGTGAACTGACACTGAGCTCAGTTACTGGGCACGTGGAGGGAAACTTTCCTCTGGGCTCTGCTCAGTTACATCTATGCAATGCATGCACTTAGTTTATTACAGAGTCACTGCCAGCAACTTGATGTTACCAGCATGAGATTCTGTTGTCTTGTGGTAGCGGTTTATGGGTGGGTACAGATTATTCCCAGTGTGAAGAATGTGCATTTGTTTAATTTTGTGATAAATAAGCACCAACTCTGAAAGAAAAGTCTGCATCAGTTGAACCTAAATTTTATTATATCAGCAGGACAATTTAAATCCACTTAATTATTCCACCAGATCATTCATTTGTTCACCCTGCTCCACCTCCTATCACCACTTCATCCTGTCACATTTTAAAACCAACAGAAACTTGGTTTAATCAGTATGAGCTGATTACAGTAGATAAGAAGAATTCCCTCTGAGATATTAACTGCAAACCTATACTGTATATGAGTAATTGTGGGTAATATAGAAAGTTATAAATGTGCCATGCGTTAGGTTATTTCATTTACTTAAAGGACCACATCTTACTGCTGACTGTTTTCCAAAGCATACAGATGTTTTTCCCAACTGTTTCAGATACATAATCTTGTTTAGTTTTTCTTTGAAAAGATGCAGTGGTTCTGTTAACCACCATTTTAATAGAAATAGAACTGTAAAAAGCAAATCTGTGCTCGTCTTATATGTGGGTCAGTGGACCTTTTGCAGTTTTTATTTAAGCTAATAAAAAAACTGGACAACATCCAACATTTGAGAACTCTGGCATCTTGTTAAACAAATGAAGTCATGGTGTTCAAGGTGACACGTTACATAAGCCAGGGAAATCTGCCAGTAGGGTAGCACGCTTTGGAAAACAGTCAACATTGTAAGTGCCACAGCCATTTAGCACTATAGCCCCATAGATACAGCAGAATTCAAAAGAATTTCAAAGTCAAAGCAGCAGAGGCTGAGATGTTGTGATTTTTAGTTCCTTCAAGCTGTGATATTCCACCATCTTTAGTTAGACCCCCACCCTGCCTGATAAATGCCTACATCTTTCAAACTCCACATTCTTGGAATTCAGACTTTCTGTAACAAAACAAAACAAAAAAAAGGTTTATACCTGGGTGGTTTCACTTCAGTAGGTTTCTTATACTACAGAGCAGCAGAACACATCATTATGCCCATTTTCCCAGGTAGTTCTCTTGTTAATTGATACATAAAATTGGCAGAGCCCCCTTTCATGTGAAGATAATTTGCAGTACACGAGTATAAACAAGCACAACTATAGGTCTCGTTGTCTAAATAAGGACCACCCAACAAGTAAGACACCGTTTCCCCTAAACATATCAATGATACCGGACCTCATGTTTGGCCCGGGGCAGCTCTCACAGCTCGTGGCTGTAGACGTGGTCTTCAAACACAGCCTGCTCCATGGTGTCACAGATCATCGTGCAGAAGGGACACACTCGGTGACACTGCTCGTGCTGCTCCAGTTCATCCTGGGTGATTCCAGGGAACCTCTCCTGGCAATGACGACACACCAGGCACTGGCGGGGACACAAATAGAGACAGCGCCTCAGAAGAAGTAACAAAATAGGGAGAGGATTAAATTTTAAGTCTGCTTCAAAAATAAACAGGACAGCCAGTTGTGTATATCAGTGGACCTGGTGAGGGAGGGAGGGGCTCCTCAATGTGTGATGGAGTTGAGAGTTGCTCTGGGTCCTGCTTATTTTACCTAAGTTAGTTTGAATAGTGGTTCATTCACTTTGTATGAATTAGTTAGCACTGCTACAGGTGTGCATTATGTAGTGGCTTTACAATTTGTCCACCGTGTCAGAGAAATATGTCACAGACTTCATTGGTGTAAGAAGATAGAACCAGACCAGCTCTGGCCACTGACAAAATGGGTTTTAGTTAAAAATCATAGGTGAGGTTGTAGCCTCTTAACTTGATTTAATACTTACGTCTTCTTCTGCTACTGCACTGCTCCCTGCAAGGAAAGGGAACTCCATCAACACCAATTAAAAACAGTTTATTCATTAGGACTGGGGCTGCAACTCTTGTTTATCATCATGATGCATTCATCTAATTTCCTGATTAACTTCCTAATAATTTGATTCATAAAATGTCAGAAATGTCTAAGGATGATCTCAAGTGACCAGAACTGAGTTTCTAAAAAAAGCCTTGGGCTTTCTTTGACACAAGCTGAAACAGGTTCACCTCCATTATGCCAAAGTATTGGCAGAAGTCCAGAAAACCCGACACCCCCCATTTGGGTGAAGTGACCCTTTAACTGTTTAAAAAAAAACATTCTTTCATGACCTTTGCATGTGAGCGTCTATACCAGAGCCTGTTACTCACCTATGCTGTCATACAGGTTCGTGGCCTGTTCAGGCGTCTCCTGCTGTTGCCAGTCTTGGTTGCTCGAGGTGTCGCCAGGCTGCACGTGAGTAGAGTCACCAGAGGCATCCAAAGCTCTGCGCAGCCCCGCTATATCGCTTTGGAGATTCTGACAGAACAAATACAGTTCACAAGGTCACTCATCGAATCTGAACACTGGCCCAGTGAAGACTCTGTAAATTTACCTGGTTTTCTCTGTCAGTCTCTTCTTTCTCGCGCTTCACCAGCCTGATCCTGTGTGCGTTACTTTCTATGATGGTGTCTTTATCTGCAATTGCTGCACATGCCTCTCTGAGCTGGAGCTGAAAATATACAAAGGTAAACAAGCTCAAGTTTTTGTTTCCACGCACAGAAGCTGACTTATTTACTAGAAGCTAAAAAATATGTGGATAGCTGCAAATTCTCTAAGACCATTGAACATCTCATTCCAAAATAATTGGCACTGATTTGACTAAAATAGAATAAATGTCCCTATTGAATAAGCTTTACCGATTCTCTGGCAACTCAAAAGTTCATGAATGTTACTGTAGATAGAAAGAAAGAGAAGTCTAGTGATTTAGAAAAGTGATAAATAGCCTAAAGTAATCCAAATCAGCTAAAAGGGATAGTTGAAAGTAATTAAAAAGTTGGGAATCACTGGAATGAAATATGTAGATATTTCAAATAGACCCACACCAAATGTAAACAACTTGTCTAGATACTTTTGGCCTCCTAGTGCATCTAAGCCAAGGTCAGAGTTGGTCATGTTGATTTGGTCAGAGTTTACCTCATATTTGCTACTTTTCCGTCTTTCCTCATCTAATGATGTGGCCACATTCACCAGCTGTTCCCTGATTTCCATCAGGTCTCTATCCAGGTGCTCAGCTCGTGTCTTGACGTTTCTGGACTCGTCCTTCTCAGCTGCCAACTTTGCCTGAGTGTCCTTTAGCTGGCTGACAAGAGACTTATACTGCGCCTGCAAAGGACATGTCATTAAACTGTGCTGCCTTATCTCATAAGGAAAACGAGTTGTTTTTAAGAGAATGTCAGCCTCTTCTTAATTTGCTCCCACCTTTAGGTCTTCATCTGAAGTGCCTGGCGGTATCTCCTGTGACAGCCTCCTAGATAACTCCTGGTTCTCTCTCTTCACTTCATCCATATTGTGTGTGAGCCTTTCCAGCTCTGCAGAGAGCCTTTCCTTTTCTTTCTCACTGCTCTGAAGGTCAACCTGCCAAGAGTAAAGCACACATTTGAATATGGACCCAAATGATCAACACCTGACATTTATCATCTTCAGAACCAGAAACAGGATTATTGCCAAGCAGGTTTTCACATTCCAAAAAGTTTCCTTAGTGTTGTGGTACATAACAGTCAAAAGTATAATGAGTAAGAGAAAAAAGTACCACAAACATCAAGTAATCATTTATAAAAATTGGAAAAATGAAATGAAAAATGGGATCCAGCCTTATCCTTAAAATCAATGCTCAGTGTAGCAGATATACTTGTAGGAGCTGTATGCTGTCTTTTGTTTTCAACAGTTCCCGTTCTGCTTCTTTGAGTCTGCTATTCAGCCTAAAACACACAAAAACAGGTGTTAGTGGCCAGTAAACATAATGCAACAAGTGCTAAAAGTTGTCATATGTTTTAATGATGAAAACAGAAGCAGACTTGACTCACTTGGAAATCTCCTCACTTTGAACATCATTCTTCTCTTTCAGCTCCTTGCCCTCCTCTTTCAGCTTGTTGATCTTCGTCAAAGCTCGATCGTATTTCTCCCGAACACGTGTCTAAAAATATGATATAAATCAGGAGGAGATGATATAACATTGTTTCAGAGCCTCTAACAATGAGGGGGGGAAAAATAAGTCTTTACCTCGTTTTGATTTGATATTCCATCTAAACTGAGGCTCTGACTCTGGTTCGTCTGCTCAGTAGCACTCTGTTGTTGCTGCAGCGCCATCTCCTCCAGGGAGACACAATTTTAAAGTTAAATTTTCACCCTCAAAGTATTGTATTGATTTTAGATTTCACACACTGTCAGAAAACAAACCTTTAAGTGGTTAATTTCTTGCAGTTGCTGTTTTAAGGCTCCTTCCAAGTTTCCATTTTTCTCCTTGACTTGATCCAGTTCTTTGACCAGTTCACTCTTTTCTTTTTCTGTCTGCTGATTCTGCCCCTGTACAAAGCAGTAACACTGTATCTCATATCAAAGTGCAATCACTGTTTAACTTTTGTCCCTATTGCACAATTAGCAAATGTGCTCATCTCACAGACATTAACATAGACTGGATAAGCAGACCTTCAAGCTGGCAACCTCTTGCTGTTCCATCTGCAGAGCACTTTTTAAAGTTTCATTTTCCTTTCTCATCTGATCCAACATTTTCTGCAGTTCAGCTTTCTCATGTACACTCCGTTCAACCTGTTCCTGGGTTCAACAGAACATATTGAGCCAATAAAAATTTACCTGAGAGACATGTGTTTTCATCAGTGCTGAAAGAAGTACTCTGACTAGAGCAATACCAAAGTATAGAAATACTCTATAAGTCCTGCATGCATTATGCAGAATGGCCCATTTCAAAATATTTTACACAGATCATTTGCATTTGATACCTGTGTTGTTATAACCAGGAGGTCGTCTTCTGGGCTGTTCTCCAGGCTTTGCTCCTCTGGGTTTTTGAAACAGAAAGGAGTGCTGGCTCCTCGCACTTGACCAGCACTGTCAATGTAACAGAACTGATAGAACTCCATCTCATCCTTCGGCAGGTAGTAATCTGACAGGACAAGAGCAGAGGCTCCAAGTCAGGTTTTCCTCAATGTACAGTTTGGTGATTGTTTTTGTCAATTAATCAGTTTTTTTTAATCTATAAAATGTCAGGAAGTTATGAAAAGTGCCCATCAAAATGTTTTTAAATCCCACATTGTTTAAAAATATATATATTTACAATGATATAAGGTGGAGGAAAAACAGCGGACCCATAAAAACTGAAACAAAATTTATTTTAAATACAATTTTTCTTGATAAAAATATTTAAATTGATGGGGTGGCTGTGGCTCATGAGGTGGGGTGGCTGTGGCTCATGAGGTAGGGCAGTTGTCTCCTGACCAGCAAGTTGGTGGTTTTACTCCTTGTCTCCCCCTGAGCAAGACACTGAACCCCGAATTGCTCCCGGTGGATTGACCAGCACTGTTGTGTGGCAGCCTTGTCGTCATCAGTGTGTGAATGTGTGTGTGAATGATCTCCTGTAAAGCGCTTTGGCCAGTGCAACACACTGTGAAAAATGCGCTATATAAATACAGTCCATTTACCATTTAAATGATTAATGAACTGAAATGTATTGATTAATTGAGAATAAATTAACAGCAGAGCCAGAGGACATCCACATCATAGCAGCTCAGAAAAACAGATTTAAGTGCTTTGTGATATTAGAAACCGTTTACACAGATTATGTGTCCAGAAAGTACACTACATCAAAACCATGCACAGTCATTTCATAATTTTAGCCTAAAGCAAAAGTAAAACTATTCCATACCTTTAAAAATAGCTTGCTTAGTCACAGGTTCCTGCCCTGTCACATCCACACTGTGCTTCGCCCACACAAAGGTATGATAATCCTTAGCTGTGCTCCATCCCACCTGTATAAGAAGAGTTAGGGGAAAAACACTCAGAAAGATTTAAATCACCACATGGAAATAACTAATTCAGTACTGTCTCCTCACCTTAAAGATGCCCACCCAGTCCTTATGGTGGGCCTGGTAGGGTTCAGTGAGGGTGTAGCCGCAGGTAATAGGGGTGGAAGGTGGATATGAGTGAGGGATGTCGATGAACACCACCTGAGAGTAGGTACGTGCTGAGCAGTCTGCTGCCGCCACCGCTGCTGCCTCTGGAGGGCTCTCCATGTTGAGCTGCGAACGGTAAAGACCGATGACAAAACGAAAGTGACTGAAGACAGCAGCTGCCACGGGGTGGCCTGTGTCATGACACAAAGCAGCGGTGTTTTCAATGGCTGCCTTCTTCCTTTTGTTTTTTTACAGTTTTGCTACTTGTTTCCGAATTGACTACGCACTTACAATTAACTCAGACACTTTTCTGTAGCTGAAAATGTGCATCTTAAAACTGGTCCCTCCAGCTAAACATGTCATTTAATCATTAATCACTAATTAAACCTTTAAAGGCAGTTAGTTGAAAGTATAACATGAAAACAAAGAAACCGAAAGTAATCGAGCCTAAAATACCTGAAATGTCTTATATTGTTTCATTTGATATAAAATACAGGTTTTTTTTGTAGCAGCTGTTCTACTTAACCAAAAGGTGAGATGAAATAACCAAAGTAAAACGTCAAACTTACGTGTTTACTGTCGCTCTTCGCGGGACGTCTCAGCTCCGAGTCCGAGCGTTTCCTCTGACAGTGTTTTGCTGCCTTCACGTGCTCCTCGGACATTTGTGTATTAAGGCGGGGACAGACACTTCTGGGCTCGTAAACTTGTAACTTATCTTATTTTAAAAAATGTAATTAAATAGGTGCACCTTCTCTGGATCCGAAGCTATGTTCACTGTTTTATCCCCAATGAATTTACATATTACAATAAAGCTATTTCATCATATTATAAACAGAACGCTTTAAAACGAACATTTTTTCTAATCATCTAACTTTAATCAATCAATCCAGCTTAGTAGTTTCTTGTATTTATGCATTCCTGTATAAAAAGTGTAAAATACGTTTTGTTTCTTTTAGGTCCAGGTCGTACCTTTGTTTACTAACACTTTCCAATAGGCTATATTCAAAATAAATATTTGTTGGTTACAGACTGTTATTCGTTAGAATAGTATTTGTATTATAGGCTATTACTAAAAGTAGTTGGACCCAGTTCTTTAATTGAAAGTGCGAGAAGTGAAAACAGAAGAGGACTGTATAAAATCAACAGAAATGTATTCGAAGTCTAGTCCCATGTGAAGCCATTGCAGCGTTGCCAACTCCTCAATAAGGAAAGTAGCCATGGGCTGTCGTAAAAGTCGCTAGATGACGTCATCGCCGAATTTGCTTAATTGTCTATTTGCAAGTAATTGTAATGGAGGCTGTAGGAGAGAGGAATAATGTCGTGAGAGAGACAAGAAGTGAGTAAAAAACACCCTAAATATGTTTAGAACTACAAATGAACTTTCTTCTGTTGATGGTTGTTTTGTTTTTTTTGTTTTTTTATTTTGCCATTTAAATAGGCCATCACTTCTCAAAATAACTTTTTTACTTTAATGCTTTGTCTAGACCAACATTACATAAATCAATTTTGCCCTGTATTGTTAAGTGTTAGAATGTCACATTTAATCAAAAGACTGTTATGTGGGGTGTATTTGCTAGCTCTATGTCCATCCCTCCTTTATCCAGGCTTGGGACCAGCAAAGTGACCCAAAAAAGACACTCTGGCAGAGTTACAACGTTAACAATCTAAATGGACCAAAAAGAGACAACAGTAAAAACTGTCAATGGCAATGTGAGAAAATGATGGTAACTGGTCTGCTCCTAATTCGGGTTTGCTTTTTCAGAACCCCCTCCTCACACATGCTGTGCTGGCTCACAGAAAGAGTAGGTCATCTTTCTATAGCAGGTTCAGCATCTGAGGGAGCTGACTTAAATGAGTAAGCAGCTAATGTGCCAAAAAGCTGCAAAACATTATCAGGCAGCTTGTGCTCATAGCAAGCCTCACCAGACAACTTCAGACCATATCGGACACCAGGATGGAGTTAAGGGTCTGCAAGGACATACGATTTCTATGTTTGCTTTTTACCACAGTCATCTGGCTGAATAATCTCTCTGCAAAAACACCTTTTAGGGCTGGGACTATCTTCTTCTCAAGTGACCGTGCAGTCGTGTTATTGCTGACATGTCCAAACACAGCAACACAATTTAAAAGATAGAAATCATTCAGAGAACTGGCCAATTCTACTGTTTTAACTATAAGGGAACAAACCTGTTGCTACATAAAGCTTGATATTGTCAGTAAAATTAAAACTAAAAATAAAATTCATCCTGAAGTATACATGTACAGTGGTGTGAAAAAGTATTTGCCCCCTTACTGATTTCTTATCTTTTTGCATGTTTGTCACACTGTAATGTTTCAGATCATCAAACAAATTTAAATATTAGTCAACGATAACACAAGTAAACACATCATGCAGTTTTTAAATGAAGGTTTTTATTATTAAGGGAAAACAAAATCCAAAACTACAAAGCCCTGTGTGAATAAGTGTTTGCCCCCTAAACCTAATAACTGGTTGGGCCACCCTTAGCAGCAACAACTGCAATCAAGCGTTTTCGATAACTTGCCATGAGTCTGCCACAGCGCTGTGGAGGAATTTTGGCCCACTCATCTTGGCAGAATTGTTGTAAGTCAGCCACATTGGAAGGTTTTCGGGCATGAACTGCCTTTTTAAGGTCATGCCACAGCATCTCAATTGGATTCAGGTCAGGACTTTGACTAGGCCACTCCAAAGTCTTCATTTTGTTTTTCTTCAGCCATTCAGAAGTGGACTTGCTGGTGTGCTTTGGATCATTGTCCTGCTGCAGAACCCAAGTTCGCTTCAGCTTGAGGTCACAAACGGATGGCCGGACATTCTCCTTCAGGATATTTTGGTACACAGCAGAATTCATGGTTCCACTTATCACAGCATGTCTTCCAGGGCCTGAAGCAGCAAAACAGCCCCAGACCATCACACTACCACCACCATATTTTACTGTTGGTATGATGTTCTTTTTCTGAAATGCGGTGTTACATATACGCCACACATAATGGGACACACACCTTCCAAAAAGTTCAACTTTTGTCTCGTCTGTCCACAGAGTATTATCCCAAAAGTCTTGGGGATCATCAAGATGTTTTCTGGCAAAACTGAGACGAGCCTTTATGTTCTTTTTGCTCAGCAGTGGTTTTCGTCTTGGAACTCTGCCATGCAAACCATTTTTGCCCAGTCTCTTTCTTATGGTGGAGTCATGAACACTCACCTTAACTGAGGCAAGTGAGGCCTGCAGTTCTTTGGATGTTGTTGTGGGGTCTTTTGTGACCTCTTGGATGAGTTGTCGCTGCGCTCTTGGGGTAATTTTGGTCGGCCGGCCACTCCTGGGAAGGTTCTCCACTGTTCCATGTTTTCGCCATTTGTGGATAATGGCTCTCACTGTGGTTCGCTGCAGTCCCAAAGCTTTAGAAATGGCTTTATAACCTTTTCCAAACTGATAGAGCTCAATTATTCTCTTTCTCATTTGGTTTTGAATTTCTTTGGATCTCGGCATGATGTCTAGCTTTTGAGGATCTTTTGGTCTACTTCACTTTGTCAGGCAGGTCCTATTTAAGTGATTTCTTGATTGCGAACAGGTGTGGCAGTAATCAGGCCTGGGTGTGGCTAGAGAAATTGAACTCAGGTGCGATAAACCAGTGTTTTGACAGGGGGGCAAACACTTGTTCACACAGGGCTATATAGTTTTGGATTTTGTTTTCCCTTAATAATAAAAACCTTCATTTAAAAACTGCATGATGTGTTTACTTGTGTTATCGTTGACTAATATTTAAATTCTATTTCGTATAGCCTTCGCCCTCTAAGAGCTGTCACTATTGGGTTTATCCCTCACGCATGCGCAGTCCTGAAGAGATTCTTTTGAGCCCTGTGCCCTGCACTGGGCTGTCCTCAATTACGTCCGCAGCAGTAGTATAGATGTCACTGCGGCCTTAGCTCTACTCCCTCTTTTTCTTCAGTGTTCAGTCCTATGAGCATCGACATGGATAAGACTAAAAAGCGAAGCAGCTCCCTTTCTACTGGAACCTGACGCCGCCCCGCTGTCACCGTGTGTCCCGGCTGTGAAACGGGCTTCATCCTGCCCAATGACCCGCACCCCCGCTGTGACGCCTGCCTCGGCGCGGAACACGCCGAGCTGGCCCTCTCTCTGCAGGCCGCTTGCCCCTTCTGCGCTTGCCTGCCTGCAGCGGAGGATGGAAGTGGCGGAGGATGGAGGTTTCCGCCGCCATGAAGGACAAGGACCCAGATGACGGCGTTACCTGGGCCACACACGGTGACGACCCAGTGGCGGAAGATCTCCTGGAGGTCCTCGGCCATTGA